AAGCGGGCGACGGCTGTTGGCCTCGTACTGAAACCTCGCTGAACCTCTCTCTAAACCTCAATTATAAAATTAAAATAAAAATATTTAATATTTAATTTAATTAAAATTATTTAACATTTCAAATAAACGCAGAATACCGCTGCTGCAGCTGCTGGAGGTCACCTCTTATCTCTGGGGCTCGCGAGCAGCAGCAACGGGGTGTATAGGCAGCTATTTCCCCCCAAAATATAAAATAAATATTTTAAACAGTATATATTTACACAATTTATATAAAAAAAATAAAAAATATTAAAATTTCAAACAGAAGATACAAATAAATACACAGATAGCTCGGGTGTGCAGCAGCAACCAGGCAGGTGACCCTCTCTTCTGTTTCCTCTGCGGGGGGGGGTGTTTGTACTTGTTGTAGTTTTTGTGTTTTTTTCTCTTTTTTTATTTATTTTTTTTTCAGTTATAATAACAAAAAAAAGAAAGTAAAATCCATAGAACCCCCAGCAACAAGCAGAAAAAATATATATATATATATAGAGAGACAAAAGAAAGAGAGAAGAGACAAAAAAAAAAAAACTACAGAGACAAACCCTCTCCTAAGCCAGCTCCACCACCAAACGCCCTAAACCCTAAACCCTAAACCCTAAACCCTAAACTCTAAACCCTTCAGCTGAGGGCAACTGCAACAACCCTAATTCCCCCATAAACAAAACCCTAAACCCTAAGCCCTAACCCCTAAACCCTTGAACAGAGGAATGAGGCTGCAAGTTGTTTTTAGTATTTAGGGTTTAGGGTTTAGGGTTCTGAGGTGTACATACACCCGAGAAGACAGCGGCAGCGCTGCAGTAGTTTTGTTTATTTATTATTTATAATTATATTTGTTTGTTTATTTATCACTAAATATATATTTTTGTTTATTTATTTTTATATATATTTTCTTGCTGGTTGTTTTATTATATAGACCACCAAACATTTACAAATGTATGGGTGTAGCTGCAGAGTAATATATATAAACATTATATATATATATATATATATATATATATATATATATATATATA